ATATCCCACATGCCACGGAGCAACTAAGCCTGTGTGCCACAACTCCTGAGCCTGTGCTCTAGAGCCCGCGAGCCACAACTACTGAAGCCCGTGCGCCTAGAGCCCATGCTCCGCAACAAGAGAAGCCACCACAATGAGAAGCCCGCGCACCACAATGAAGAGCAGCTCCACTTGCCACAACTAGAGAAAGCCTGTGCCCAGCAACAAAGACTCAACGCAGCCAAAAATAAAAATAAATAAAATAAATAAATTAAAAAAAAATTAAGAACTTCTGTGCATCTAGGGACATAATCAACAGAGAGAAAAGGAAGCCTATAGAATTGGAGAAAATATTTGCAAATCATATATCTGATAAGGGGTCAATATACAGAATATGTAAAGAACTCCTACAACTCAACAAAAAAACCCCCAAATAATCTGATTAAAAAATGTTCAAAGGACTCGAATAGACATTTCTCCAGAGATGGTATACAAATGGCCAATAAGCAAATGAAAAGATGCTATGTGCTCAAGCATATGAAAAGATTAAACTATTACCTCACTAATCATTAGGGAAATGCCAATCAAAACCACAATGAAATACCATCTTATACCTGTCAGAATGATTACTATTAAAGGGGAAAAAAACCCCAGAAAATAGCAAATGTTGGCAAGGACATGGAGAAATTAGAACCTTCATGCATTGCTGGTGGGAATATAAAATGGTGCAGCCACTATGGAAAACGGTATGGTGGTTCCTCAAAAAAATTAAAAATAGAATTACCATATGACCCCGCAATTCCACTTTTGGGTATGTATTCAAAAGAAGTGAAAGCAGAGACTTGAACAGATGCTTGTACATTCATAGCAGCATTATTCACAATAGCCAAATGTCCCTCAACAGATGAATGGATAAACAAAATGAAGTATATACATACAATGGAAAAGGAGATTCTGACACATGCTACAACATGGATTAACCTTGAGGACATTATGCTAAGTGAAATAAGCTAGTCACTAGAAGTCAAATACTATGATTCCACTTATATGAGGTACCTAGAATGGTCAACTTCATAGACAGAAGGGTGGTTCATGGAGGTAGAATGTAGTTGCAAGAGGCTGGGAGAGGGAGAAATGGGGAGTTGTTTAACAGGTAGAGTTTCAACCTTACAAGAAGAAGTTCTAGAGATTGGTTGCAGAACAACGTGAATGTACTCAACACTACTGAACTGCACATTTAAAAATGGTTAAGATGGTAAATTTTATTTGTGCATTTTACCACAATTTTTAATAATGCAAAAAACCAAAAAAAGTAACGAGGTAATGATACATACTATGACATGGATGAACCTTGAAAACATACTAAGTAAAAGAGGCAGTCACAAAAGGCCACATATTGTATGATTCAGTTCATATGAAATGTCCAGAATAAGGAAATCCATAGTTAGATCAGTGGTTGCCAGGGTCTAGCGGGAGAGGAGAATGGGAGATGACTGCTAATGAATACAGGATTCTTTTTGAAGTGATGTATACATTCTGGAATTACATAGTGGTAATGGTTACAAAACTTGTGAATATACTAAAAACCATTGAATTTTATGGTATGTGAGTTATATCTCAATTAAAAAAAAAAAACCCAAGTGACTACTGGAAAAATACACCAGATCCCTGCTATAGAATAATGTCATACAAGGTATAAAATTCCATCCTGGGCTTCCCTGGTGGCGCAGTGGTTGGGAGTCCGCCTGCCAATGCAGGGGACGCGGGTTCGTGCCCCGGTCTGGGAGGATCCCACATGCCAGGGAGCGGCTGGGCCCGTGAGCCATGGCCGCTGGGCCTGCGCGTCCGGAGCCTGTGCTCCGCAATGGGAGAGGCCATAGCAGTGAGAGGCCCGCGTACCGCAAAAAAAAAAATTCCATCCTTAGATCTTTGGCATGTAAACATAAGCCAGGATAAATTACTAGAATTGACCATTAGGCATCACAAAGCAGTCACACAGGAAACAAGGTTTTAGAAATCCTAGTGAATGCAGAATCATATTACCTTAATAACTGATACATTTGAGAAGGAACAGATAAACCAGACTGAAACAAAAGGAAATTGTGGAAGACAGGCTGAAAAAAACAGAAGAGAGGCCAAACTATGGAAGATGCTGACTACCAGACTAAGGAATTTGGACTTTTGTTCACAACTGCTATCTTAAGTCACTATTTTCAAAAAGATTAATTTCATGGCAATATAAGACTATTAAATTATACAGAAAGTGGAAAAAAATGGAAAATCCTGTAAGGTTAGAGACTGGTTGTCTAAGCATTTGGTGATGAGGATATAAAGTGTGAAAGTATTACTAAGTCTAGATGAACAAGATATTAAAAAGCAGTATATTGACAAAATCCATCACTTGTTTAAATGTAAGGGATAAAAAAGAGAGGAAAAAAGTTAAACACAACTCAGATTTCCAGGAAATCACTGCTATCTACTGGAATAAACTTGGAGTGGAGAAGTAGCCGGTTTGAGGGGATTAATAAAAGCTGGACAAACACAGTAGCAATCCTTCAACTTTTACTGGCATATTTCCTGACAAAGATTTCCTTTTTACCAACTTTGAACTAATACTGAAAAAACATAACCTAACAAAAAGACACACCACTCACCTATGATTGCAAAGTCAAAAGAAAAGTGGCAAATGGAAGTGTGGACATTCTCTGACTAAATGTTGCAAGCAGCAGATAATAAAATGAGAGTTAAGGCAGAAGTTTTTCTTCCCTATAAACTCCTGGATACAAAGTGGGAAATCATCAAGTTCAATGTTTTAATTATATACAACTTAGAATGTTAAACAGTACTCCAGCTGGCAACTATTGACATAAAGAATCTGACTTAAATAAGTGTTAGTCCTTGAAGCAAGATGAGAAGTAAATATTTAAAATTTGTCATACAAGTTTAAAGAGTCATTTATCAGTATCACTGTTGAAACTAGTAAATACTCAAAACAACAGATCATCTAATACCGGGCAAAAGAATAGTCACAGGAGGAGAAAACTGTGGCAATTTCATTCAGTTGATCAAACTACAGAAATAATAGGTTAATACAAATACCTGAGGACTGTAAAAAGTCATATTATCTATTTATAAGGCTGTCATAAGCTTATCAAATGTGTAAAACTCTTTAAATGTTGCTCATCTTATCACCCAGGATTTTAGAAACGCCATGAAGGCATCGAGAAAACACTGTGATACACACATTGTCTTAAACATACAAATGACAAAGAAACCACCCCCCTCAGTTAAAAGGACTTACCTTTATTGTCGAGGAACACATAACCATCGAAACGATCCCTGAACAAAATAATGTCCTCCTGGTTTTTAAAGTTGATGTATGCTCTGGCATACATATGAGGATACAGGCTGCAGGGAGGAAAGCAATTATGTCAATGTGCTTGCAGGTGTCTGACTGAACTACAAGTATGCATATGTTAAAAAGATAGGCTCAAAAATCAAATGGAAAACATTAGTAGGATTAAAAAGAATGGAAGAAACCTTTTTCATTTACCCCCTCCCTCTTTTATTTATTTATTTTACCTAGTATCATTAGAAAAAAACTCAAAATAATCATGCTCAGGCATAGGCTGAAGATGTTCCTGAAGCTGCTCCTTGGTCAAAGTGGGCGGTAATCTCCGTATTACCACCTTAAGAAATGAATAAGGAAAATAAAATTAGTACAAAGCAATTTTCTGTCAAACTTGAATCACTGTCCCTGAAGAAAGTTGGCCTTTAAAAGATGAGATCACTTATAAAAACCCAAGAGAATGTTCAGAAAGCTCAGAATGATTAGTCAAACATAATAGTAACGTAGTTAAAAAAAACCACCAACTCTCAAAAACGAGAACTGCCTGGAGCAAGGAAAATCTCAGGTTCTGTTAACCTGAAGCCCCACAGTTTACTAGGTCTTCGCCTCATTTTCTATCACCCATTTTCAGCAGTGGTAAGAAATTAGTAAACCAACCCTGGTCTTTTGTGGGTGCCATGAATTCTTGATTTATTAATATTTCCCTACCACATCCAACACATCCTAAAATAAAATCCTTACTCAATCAGCATAAAGAATTCAAAATTCTAAGGAAAACCACAAATTCCCTCATTGCTCCCCAAATAAGGATGCACCCGATCTGGCCCCCAGACCATAATATCCCCCACCCACCCACTCCCTCAACTAGCCTCTATTAATTTTCCTATCACAAACTACTCCCACCCTTGATGGCCTCTTCACTATTGCCCCTTCCCAACCATCCTCCACGGGTGGCGGAACGGTCCCGCCCTCTCCTGGGCCGACAGCCGGCCAGTCACCTTGCTCAACGCCTCTTTCTTCTCCTTGTTCCGATCCTGCTTATCTTCCGCTTTGATGCTGTCCCCCGAAGGCCCACAGACGCTGCCTGTGGCCCCCGGGGGAGCCAAGAGGGTTACTCGCTTCTCCTTAGGCCTATGCTCCTTCTCCTCCTTCATGGCCACGGTTTCGCTCCTCATCGCGGTGGCCCGGCCTAAACGCCACTACGCCGGCACCTAACGACTCCCGGCCCACTCCGAACAGAACTCCGCCCCCAACGGACGCCCCGCCTTCTAAGCGGAATCCTGCTTTCTTTTGGGCCCCGCCAGGATCTCGCGAGACTTCAGGACGCCTGGTCTTAGCTTCCCGCCCGCGGAATCCCCGCACCGCCCAATCCCCTTGCGACCCAGACTCCCTCGGGGCACGTCATTAGCAGCTCCGCCATCTTGGCTGGGGCGAGTATTTCGCGGACTACAAATCCCGGCATGCAAAGCACTTACTCGGGCTTCCCTGGTGACGCAGTGGTTAAGAATCCACCTGCCAATACAGGGGACACGGGATCGAGCCCTGGTCTGGGAAGATCCCACATGCCACTGAGTAACTAAGCCCGTGTGCCACAACTACTGAGCCTGCGCTCTAGAGCCCACGAGCCAAAACTACTGAGCCCACGCGCCACAACTATTGAAGCCCGCGCACCTAGAGCCCGTGCTCCGCAACAGGAGAGGCCACCGCAATGAAAAGCCCGCGTATCTCAAGAAAGAGCAGCCCCCGCTCGCTGCTTCTGGCCGGGAGGTCTGGAGTCGTAGGTGTTTCAGGGTTCCTACTTGTAAGTAAATGGAATCCTTAATCTTGAAAGTGTAGTGTTTTTCAGATCTAAAGATACTTTCTGCGGGCTTTGTTTTCCTCAGATAAACCCGATGTTATCCAAAGTTTACCTCACTAGGGGAACGACTTGTATTTTCTATCATTGGTTGTGAAGTGTCCTTTCAGAGTCTTTAGAGGTTTTTTTCCTTATATTGATTAGGATTCAGACACTTAATAAACACGCACAGAACACTGACATTAAAGGATCATTATAACCAAAATGTATGAGATTTGTTTTCATCACCGTTTTTAAAAGTAAAAGGAACCTATCATGGTACTGATGCCCCGCAGGGAGGAGAAAATAAAATAAAACCCAACTTGCTTTAGATGGGATTGCCCTCCTTCCCGCTCTTAAAAAGGCTAATTATGCATTATTTGTAATAGCCCCAAACTGGAAACAACCCAAATATCTGTCAACCGGCTAATGCATAAACAAAATGTGGCACATCCATAGATCTAAATAGTACTCAGCAATAAAAATGAAGCGATACGTCCATCCACATGAGTGAATCTCAAAACGATTATGCTGAGTGAAAGAATCAGGACACAAAGAGAATACATGCTGTATGATCTCATTGATATGAAATTCCAGAAAAGGTAAAACCATAGTGAGAGAAAGCAGATCAATGATTGCCAGGGGGCGTCGGGGGTGGGGAGAAGGGATTGACTGCAGAAGGGCTCCAGGGAACTTTTTGGAATTATAAAAAATGCTCTTTATCATGATTGTGGTGGTGGTTGCATGACTGCAGACATTTGTGTAAACTCATTGAATTGTACACTTAAAATTGGCAAATATTATTTTATGTAAATTATATTTTATTGAAATTCAGCCCCTCAGATTAAAAGAAATGCAAAACTTGAAAAATATTGCTCAGCAAAAGCCCCAGGGGGCTCCTCAGGAGAATGGAATGGAATCTGTCTCCTTCTCCAAACCCAAGAAAAATCTTTTTCCGTGGAGGAGCTGGTTAGTAGTGATCTTGAAGAGACAGCTGGCAGTGGAAGTCTTTACAAGAGGAAGAAATCTTTCTCCAAAAAGGAACCAATTAGTGACCCTAAAGAGGCAGGAAACAAGTGTCCCCAAGAAAAAGAGGAAATTCTCTTGTAAATGTCAAGTATTCTGATTTGGGTTTTTTTAATGTTTTATTATACTTTGTTAAAAAGGAAAAATTGTACATTTTAGAATGTTTTTATGAGTAAATTTAATGTACTGAAAATGTAAAAAAAAGAAAAGAAAAAGAGGAAATTCTCTTCCAAGGAGGAGCCACTCAGCAGTGGACCTGAAGAGGCTGCTGCCAGCAAGAGCAGCAGCTTCAAGAAAAAGAAAAAGCTCCAAAAGCTGTCCCAGGGTGATTAGAATTGACATTTCCCTGGTGAGGCATAACTTGCAGAGATATTTCCCAACCCAAGCCTATATCTCAATAAAAAGAAAAATATTGCTCTAAATGATAGAGCGTTTGTATTTCATCAAATTAAGATACCATCGAATCTAAAACCATTATTTTATATACAAAGAAAGAAAAAATGCTGCCAATTGAACTATGACACACTATCAATTTTAAGATGTATCTTGATTTCAGAGGTGTTAAAATGTGAAAAAAAGTGTTAGTATCAATTGAGCATAGTATATCTCTATTATGTGCAATTAAGGAAAAAGGAGGTGAAATGGGAGAGAAGGGCAAATGATAAGCCAGAGAGAGACACAGACATCCCCAGCAGGCAGGAACCAAGTTAAGGATGCAATAGAAACCCAAGGCAGAAAGCTGGCTCAGGGCCAAGGACCCATTTTTGCTGACGTCTGGAATATATTATCCAGACTCCGTTCTTAAACTGTCTCACTTCTGTTGCCAAGCATATGCTTGTGTTCCTAATTCCTGTTGCCAAGGCTATTTCCCTGTATTTGGGATCTGTTTACTCACTCTTGCCTCCAGCACCTGCCCACTCGTACAAGCCTAGCTTAAGTATCTATCTGCCTCTGAACTCCTACTTAGCTTTGCATTTACATCTTGGTGTATGCCTGTTTTGGAGTGCTTGCTAGCTTTAAACAACTGCTGTATTTCAGTCGTCAGAGTTGGGTGTTCCAGGGCTCAGTCCTTAGACCCCTTTTCTATCTACGCTCACTCCTCTGTTAGTCTCATCTGTTCTTGTGGATTTTCTCTCTTCGCTGACTACTCCAAAATTTATATCACCAGTCCATACATCTCCTCTGAATTCCAGACATATATCCAACTGCCTAATTTGACATCTCCACTTAGATGTCTAACACATTCAGATTCTCTGAACATGTCCAAAACTGAACACCTGATCACTCCCCACAACGCCTGTATTAGTTTCCTATGACTGCTGCAACAAATTACCACAAATTTTGGGGGTTAAAATAACACAAATTTATTATCTTACAGTTCTGTAGGTTAAAAGTCCAACAGAGGTCTCACTGGACTAAAACTGAGGTGATGGCAGGACTGAGTTGCTCCCTGGAGGCTCTAGGAGAGACTCTAGTTCCTTGTCTTTTCCAGATTCTTGAGGTTGCTCATATTCCTCAGCTTGTGGCCCTTCCCTCCATCTTCAAAGCCAATAATATAGCATCTCTCGGGACTTCCCTGGTGGTCAAGTGGCTAAGACTCCGTGCTCCTAATGTAGGGGGCCTGGGTTCGATCCCTGGTTGGGGAATTAGATCCCACATGCAGCAACTAAAGATCCTGCATGCTGCAACTAAGACCCATCATAGCCAAATAAATAAATAAAAATAGCATCTCTCTCGGACCATCTTCATCTATGTCTCTTTCACTCTCTCTTCTGCTTCCCCCTTCCACTTTTAAGGACCCCTGTGACTACGTTGTGCCCACCTGGATAATCCAGGATACTCTCCTTATGTTAAAGTCAGCTGATTAGCAACCTTAATTCCCATTGCCATATAATGTAACATAGTCACAGGTTCTGGGGATTAGGGTGTAGACAATTTAAGGGGGCATTATTTTGCCTACCACACACTGTAAAGTTTCTTTTTTTTTTTTTTAAGGGAATTTCATTTCCATTTATTTATTTATTTATTTTTGGCTGCGTTGGGTCTTAGTTGCTGCGCGCGGGCTTTCTTTAGTTGCAGCAAGTGGAGGCTACTCTTCCTTGCGGTGCGCGGGCTTCTCATTGCATTGGCTTCTCTTGTTGCAGAGCACGGGCTTTAGGTGCGTGGGCTTCAGTAGTTGTGGCACGTGGGCTCAGTAGTTGTGGCGCACAGGCTTAGTTGCTCTGCAGCATGTGGGATCGCCCTGGACCAGGGCTCAAACCCATGTCCGCTGCGTTGGGAGGCGGATTCTTTTTTTTTTTTTAACTGCTTCTGAAGCATTTGTTTGCAAATGCAGGTTATATATATATATTTCTCAACATCTTTATTGGAGTACAATTTTTTTTTACATCTTTATTGGAGTATAATTGCTTTACAATGGTGTGTTAGTTTCTGCTTTATAACAAAGTGAACCAGTTATACATATACATATGTTCCCATATCTCTTCCCTCTTGCATCTCCCTCCCTCCCACCCTCCCTATCCCACCCCTCCAGGCGGTCACAAAGAACCAAGCTGATCTCCCTGTGCTATGCGGCTGCTTCCCACTAGCTATCTACCTTACGTTTGGTAGTGTATATATGTCCGTGCCTCTCTCTCGCTTTGTCACAGCTTACCCTTCCCCCTCCCCATATCCTCAAGTCCATTCTCTAGTAGGTCTGTGTCTTTATTCCTGTCTTACCCCTAGGTTCTTCATGACATTATTTTTTCTTAAATTCCATATATATGTGTTAGCATACGGTATTTGTCTTTCTCTTTCTGACTTACTTCACTCTGTATGACAGACTCTAGGTCTATCCACCTCATTACAAATAGCTCAATTTCGTTATTTTTTATGGCTGAGTAATATTCCATTGTATATATGTGCCACATCTTCTTTATCCATTCATCCGATGATGGGCGCTTAGGTTGTTTCCATCTCCGGGCTATTGTAAATAGAGCTGCAATGAACATTTTGGTACATGACTCTTTTTGAATTATGGTCTTTTCGGGGTATATGCCCAGTAGTGGGATTGCTGGGTCATATGGTAGTTCTATTTGTAGTTTTTTAAGGAACCTCCATACTGTTCTCCATAGTGGCTGTACCAATTCACATTCCCACCAGGAGTGCAAGAGTGTTCCCTTTTCTGCACACCCTCTCTAGCATTTATTGTTTCTAGATTTTTTGATGATGGCCATTCTGACTGTTGTGAGATGATGTGAGATGATATCTCATTGTAGTTTTGATTTGCATTTTCACAATCCAAGAACATGGTATATCTCTCCATCTATTTGTATCATTTTTAATTTCTTTCATCAGTGTCTTATAATTTTCTGTATACAGGTCTTTTGTCTCCTTAGGTAGGTTTATTCCTAGATATTTTATTCTTTTTGTTGCAATGGTAAATGGGAGTGTTTTCTTGGTTTCACTTTCAGATTTTTCATCATTAGTGTATAGGAATGCCAGAGATTTCTGTGCATTAATTTTGTATCCTGATACTTTACCAAGTTCATTGATTAGCTCTAGTAGTTTTCTGGTAGCATCTTTAGGATTCTCTATGTATAGTATCATGTCATCTGCAAACAGTGACAGCTTTACTTCTTCTTTTCCAATTTGGATTCCTTTTATTTCCTTTTATTCTCTGATTGCTGTGGCTAAAACTTCCAAAACTATGTTGAATAAGAGTGGTGAGAGTGGGCAACCTTGTCTTGTTCCTGATCTTAGTGGAAATGCTTTCAGTTTTTCACCATTGAGGACGATGTTGGCTGTGGGTTTGTCATATATGGCCTTTATTATGTTGAGGAAAGTTCCCTCTATGCCTACTTTCTGCAGGGTTTTTATCACAAATGGGTGTTGAATTTTGTGAAAAGCTTTCTCTGCATCTATTGAGATGATCATATGGTTTTTCTCCTTCAATTTGTTAA